CACCACGCAACGCCCTCGTCGCGTGGGCGTCGGCAGCTTAAAGGAGGAGGTGTTCCACATTTATATCGGGTTTTGAACAAGAATAGTCATCTTGAAGACCTGTCGGAGCTGTTAATCTTGCACCTCTTAAGACCTAATCCCCTCTAGTTTCTGAGCTACAGACGCGCGAAAGCGGGCAAAGGTATATCAAGCAGAGCACTTCAAAGTCGCCTTGACATTGATGACGTCAAAATAACGTTATTTAAATCCTATCATTCCATAAACCATGCGGAGATCAAGGCTGAGAAATATATAAGTGTCGGGGCGTTCACATCTGGCGTTCTTGAGAGCGATTGCCAGAGCGCTGTTTAGAGCAGGCTTTTTCAATTAAAAGTATGCCAATGCTTATAAGTGAGCTAGCTTCATCATACATCATGCTTGCTTACCATCTTCAAATGTGAAACACTCCCCTTAAATCCAACATACCTCTTCACGCATAACGCACTGTCTGGACACCGATTGCCGTCTTTTTTTGATGGCTGCTGGGCGCACCGGATGGCCGACATGCCGCATGTCCTCCTGTCCACTCAGGCACGTCTCCACATACCTGGTCGACCTGGCCTGCTTGACAACCTCCTTGACGACCCACGGGATGAGGTGTTTGCATGTAGCCGCTGCTCACCACCGCGGCGGCCCAATATATAAGGCCGAGTATTTTGGCTCTCCATGACGGACGAACGTCTGTGGCGGAGCCCGGGTCGGACGTCTCCAGTCAGCCTGGCACAGCACACGATGTTCACACCAATGGCTTGCTATGCGCCGCGGTGGTCATGCTTTCTTGTTCACCGTCCTGAATATGCATGGGCAAAGTGCTTAACATTCTTTTCTGGTAAATTTTGATATGAACCCTTTGAATGGATGAATTTCTGGGATCAGCGCTGACGAAGCCGTGCTTGTGTGAGCCCTGACCCCAACATTCGATGGCGCAATTCCAGGCAACGGCCAAAATTTAGTGGCGAAAGCTTAACGTGCCGCAATGCTCGGCACGGTCCGTCTTGCCCTCTGACGTCAACTGACCTTAGCGCGATCGCTGCCACCGGCCGCAGGCCATACCCGTCGAGGGCAAATAGCGAGCGCCCTAAACCGACTCGAACACGCCCTGCCTCGGGTTGGTGGATCGGAAGACAACCGCTGTAACCAACTGAGCCACCGAGACGGACATTGGGGTGTTCCAGCGTGATACACCGTCTAAACTTCAGCAACCCACTTCCTCTGGTTCCAAAGGTTCTATCTAACCACCTTTCGCCCAGTCCTTCCCCCCATTTTTACTCGGTTTTGGAGCACAGGGCGGGAAGAAAAGATTTTGAACATTGATCGATTTCAGGTCTGTGAGCGCGAGGCGCCAAATCGATCAAACCGATACTTAAGCCGAAGAATAAAGCGTGTGACGTGCCATGTGCTCAGACAGGTGTCTCTGACTTCGGTACGGTCACGGTCAACCACAGACGCAACAACATCTTGCCTCAGTCAGCGTGAAATCGACTCATTCGCACTTCTGAATGATTAGCGATACTGATAACGAGCGATACTGACCCGAAATATGAACTGGACACCACAGCAATCCACCACAAACATTCCGCCACAAAGAAGTTCAGCACGAGCCACGTGCCACACATCAAGGTTGTCGCAAGCCGGGTGCCAGGTAACGCAAACGCAAAACGCTGCAAGCTGGTTGCTGGCATCGATAAAAACCGGCGGTAGAAACTACTGGTGGTCAAAGATGCCAGAGACTGACAGAAACTCAAGCACTGCAGAAAATCTTGTAAGGCAATGGAGCAAAGTGGAACAGCCAAATAGGACAAACACCATGTTAAGCATCAATAGCGTTAAGTGCATGGTAAAATTGCAAAATCACACTATGTTTTGTGGGATCGGCTTCAATGACCCTATCTGACCTATCTATCACATTTATCCTATCTTCAGTGAAACTAGTCCCTACATTTCCTAAACGATTAGTTATGCATTCTTTTACTCTGGCAACGGACTAATGCAGAGGAATAGACGACCACAAACGCCGCCGCCCCAATGGCAGAATGACGTACACCACCCGTGTTAGCGTAAAGTTGGGTTAAGTTGGTTAAGTGCATAGCGAGTGGCAATAGGAATTGTGCGAGAATCAGTAACTCACAACTGCTGTTGTAGTGCAGACAGGTTAGACAGGATGAGATGAAGTAAGGCGTTTTTAGGTTAGGCATAGTTATGATACTCCCATGGAAATAAGCATTGGTATTTTGTAGGAAATAGTGACAACCTGTTCGTTTTCCCTGACCCCATCTTAACAGAAGCCAAAGGTATGCGTATTGTGTTTGACTTGTTGATGAGCAGATGTATAGGAGTCCAAGTTTTTTTGTTTGCTTGAGTGTTTTATGCTTGTGGAAATTCCTGTTGTTATGTTGTTATTGAATCCCTTTCCTTTGTGCTGTGTTAAAAATGATGTGCAAGGGAAGCGCAAAGTGTAGCATCAGATTATTGGTGTTAATAATTTTTATGCTCATTACACTGTCATGACATATCTGTGCTTTAATGTATTCTGTTCCGCTTTAATTTCCTAAGATGTTAAAAGACAAAACAGTTTTGTCAGGTTTTCGATATTACGTCCATGCCAACTTGAAACAGATGTCTTTGTTTGCTGAAGCATCAGCCACGAGCGCAAAGGTTCCGTCTTTTGTGAATTTATTTTTTTCTCTCCGGGACGGTCTTTGCGCGATGTAATTTTTCACTCCCACCCTAGTTCAAAAGCGATTCTAGCTTTCTGACCGCTATTATGGGCGGTATTTGTAGTTGGCGGGCTATTTCTACGCCTTTGCTTCGCACGCTTCCAGTGCACATGCCGCCATAGCTCATAGCTGTTGTGTGACGATTTCTTGACAGCGGTATGAAAAGTTGTCGACAGTCCATTCTGTCCTGCCAGTGGTTCCGTTCATGAAGACTTTTCAGTAAAGGAGATAAAGTTATTTTTCGTTGATGGAGTATATGGTAGCTGTAAGTTTTTCTGCTTAAAGGCGTTTAGTACGCATTGCTACGATACTGCCGCGCTGTGTGCATCTGTAGCGAATCATGCATCTTTGAGCTGGTGGTCGCGATTTTTCACGTGTTACGCATGGTTCCGGCATCATTGTGGTAGAAATGTGTTTGATTGGCAGTGAGGTGAAGACAATTATGGTTAAGCCAACTTAGTTAACACATTTTAAACCCCCGAGTCTCTCAGGAAGGGACTGAAAGGAACCTGAAGGTACGTGCTGCAGTAGGTACGCGGGGTAGGCCTGCCTTCTTCTAAGGAAGTGGCTTTTGCCTATCAAGTCATGTTTTTCTATTACGTTGAAGTGCTTCTCATTCTTGCATACCTGACTTTTGCAGTGAATCTCTATGCCTTTATGGTCATTGGCTGCTGAACGATTCCGGCTTCAGCATGGTTGTGTCACTGTCCACTATTTGGGCAACACAGGTGGCTGCTAGTTATGGCCTGGATCGAAGGTTATATGCATGGATGGAATATTTGGGATGTGTCATGGGCATTGACTCTTAAATTGGGACAAATGGGATGTTATCTCAATGATGTGTTAAGTGATAAAAAACTATTTATGCCCCTGAGTTGTTAAACATTTCTGGACAAAGGAAACAATGTAGGAGTGTATGGAGACAGCACCAGTTTATTAATCCATGGTTTTGCTCAGCACAGTTCAAGAAACAGTTGAAATATTATCATGTCATTAATGTGGCCCCTTAAATCAGTTGTAACACATGTAATTGGGAAAGAGCAATATGCTACTCATAGGTACTTTAGAAGCTGCACTAACTGACTTTGCTTTGAATGATGATGTTATGCATTTTAAGTACTTGCCTTCAAACCTCAAGATGTGTCACGGCTATTGTCCATGTTCTGTCAACTAGAAATAAAGTTGCGGGATGAAGCAGGATTTATGATACGTACATATGGTTATGTGGTCTGCCCTTTATTATGATTTAGATTTTCAAGTGGGGTTGAGATAAAAAAGTCAGCAGTGCTATAAAATATGATCTCAGTAGGTCAGATTCTGCCTAAAAAACAATGGCATGTAACATTGTAATTAGAGGCTATTTTTGAGGTAATGCAAAATGCCAAAATACCAGTTTTTTGCCATGGTATAGTTTAATTAGTTCTGATCATTTCAGGCATACTTGTGTTTCTCATAGGATACTGTCCCAAATCTGTAAGGACATCTATAAATTCTTGGTTTTCATTCATTACAAGCAGTGTAGAAAGTTATCCAGCATTGTTTTTAATATCATTTTCTCCCTTGTAAAGTTTTGCAGTGCACAGACATGGAATGCCTAAGATATATTGACATGCAAAAACCAGGGGTGCATGAGCAATGCCGTATGATTCAAGCCAAATTGAAGGAATATTATAATGAATGTAACAATTCTGTGAAGGATATGAACAGGACAGCCACCATGATGCTAGTGTTCTTATCTACTGCACAGCATGAAGCATAGTCCCCAAATCATTTCATGTATACAAATACTGACAACATTGAAAGAAGGCACTAAGCACACACTCACAAAGAACCAGTGTATTCCAATTAAATTGAGGTAGTAAAAATGTGACTTGGTGCGTTCACTTGCCAATAATTCGGCAGGTCAAGATATAAGGTATTACACACTTATTTGTGAGCATGATTTTCATGGGCAGTTGGCTGAGGCAGTGGCAATGCATCATATTTTTGGATGGGGTTGGAGGGGGGGGGGGGGCAATCAACTCTCAAGGGCCCTCTAACATTGTGGGCCCACTGATGATGGTGCCCCCCCAACCCCCCACTCATGAATGGGGAGACCGAAGTTGCTGAAGGACCACAAATCTGACAGCCCAATGCTCAAAAAAATTTGTTCACTGGATTTGATTTGCATGATTTTGAAGGGTTGTTTTCATGCATTTTTTTTTTCTGTTTTGCCCTCTAATTGAAATAGAAAGCCAGAGCGTCCAGAATGCGTCGCAAAAGTCTATAAGATGAACAGAGCAGTCATTGAAGGCAGGTAGGCAAGCTCTGCATCGAATAAACTGATCATGTATTCACTGTGCTTGGCCTATTCAACCATTTGCTAAATCGATATCAGGCAGGGGCACTGCCAGGAGTTCTTGGCGTTTTTTATGTTGAGAAGCCCGTGGATGAAACACCAGGGCAGGCCACAACGGGTTTGGCTTTTGCTGTGGATATGGCCAAGTGATGTGGCCTTTCTTCCGATGTTATTTGCGAAAACGGTGCGTGAAATAGTTTTAAGCCTGGGGGCTCGCAATCTTTCGGGGCAAACGCACCAACGCCAGGCGTTGCAGTCTTCCCAGGCGGCGCGTCTTTGGCCTGCAGCTAGCGCCATAATACTCTGCTTTATGGCATCGATTCTCACGCGTGAATGGGCGCCATATGACCAACGTAGTCGGTGTGCCTCAAAGCCCAAATCATTATCATCACGCGTGAAGCGTAGCCTGGGCCATATACCTTAGCTGTGGCAATGTAGCCTGGGCTGTGCATCTTAGCTGGGCAATTTCATTTTCATATCGATAATCGGAACGCATTAGCATTTACAGCGCCACGAGCTGGTGTTGTCATGACGCAATCTCTTATGAGTTCAGAGGTCTTATGCTTAATTGTCGACCTTCAAAAGACGACCAACGCGATAGAAGAGACATTGCTAATATTTCCAGTGTTCGTTGTTCATGCCAGGCTTATGATCACTAGTACCTCAATCCTTGCTTATGTTCCGATTGCGAGCGTGGGTGCTCCAGACTATGTTTCTCACTAATTTATTATACACAAATGTAGGGACGCCGTTAGGCAAGCATCTATACGCCAAGTATATGGGTTTTTTATACCGCTTCAATCCACTCTTTTGAACATTAAGGACAGCCCTTAACTTTTCCGAGCAGGGGTATGACACTAAGGGGCATGTTGCATTTATTGGTCTGTGGTCGAGGAGCCAGAGGAGCTAGGAACCAGCCAGAGGAGCCATACCAGGTTCGGGTACATACCGCCTGTTAGCTGTAATTTTGGCGACGGTGAGGTCTGGGCCATTGTCAATCCAGAGCCTTCAGAATGTACGTCATGCACTGCTCCCCTTCCTGGCGAGAAAGGCCCTCTGGCCGCGACTGTTAGCTTTGGATCGGCGCAGACTCCCGTACTGACGTAAATGATCACTTACCGCCGCCGTGGGACACGGACACCAGTTTGAACTATTGTGCCTCTGGACGAAACGGGAAAGAGTACTGGGGCCCCTGACTAACACAGGGTCGTTCCATTGTGACATTGTGTACCTCTATCATTGTGATTTTTTGTATCTCCTTTCATTGTCAGAGGGCCCCATCCCACGCAACATGCTTTGTGATACTTGTGGCCCCGTCTCTGTACCTACTCAGCAAATGAGCCCAGAGCCGACCCGAAGCCTCTTTTCGACACAGGATCTCTATCAGGCACTGTAGGCAATGACCGACATGGGAGGGGGGGGGGGGGGGGGGGGAGGGACATAATTGTTTCGGGTACCCAGACCATTGCAATAGGTATTCAGTGCAATCGTAATCCCCGGCAATGTCTTTGCTTGGAAAGTGGGCCCCCAGAGCCCAAACTGACCTGGAGCGACGGACTGTTGGACATCGGTAGTCTTTGACCAACGTATAGGCCCTCGCTGCCCCAGGAGCTTGGGTCGTAAGTGTCTTCCCTAATCGGTCGGGAAGCACCCATTGTCACCTAATCACCTTTTGAGAAGGGCTTGGAATACAATGCTCTGGCGCCTTAACGGAATTGGACCGTGAAACGGCATATGCACAGTTGTATATGTGTTCAGGTGCACAGGTGTTCCGGTGTACAGGTGCACGTGCAGGTGTACAGGTGTAGGTGTACAGGTCACTTGTTTCTGGCCAGGATTTGCGCTAATCGTAACGAATTTATTACAAACATAGTGAACGTAAACGGTGCCAGCTGTAAAAATTACTTGGCTCTAATCCCAGCCAGTTATCAATTGCATTTTATGAGAATTATTTGTATCAACTGCGCAACGGCTTGTAAATTTCTGTCCGACATGAGCGCACTCTGCCTACTAAAATTCGTGAAAAGCAGACACCAGGGACACTTGTAAGGGTTTCTTAAGGCGACCGGCCTCATTCGCCTATGTTTTGGCTTCATATACATTTTCACACAAAACGGTGCACCTTCAAATCTAAAACATCCAAAAACAAGCGCTTGTTTACATCTGACGCTCATCAACACTCGGCTACGCACAAAACCCAACTGTTGCGGGGCCGCATTATCACTCGCCGCCGCCGACGGCGTCTCCCTCTACATGGCAGCCAGCCTTCGCGGAGCGGCGCTGGCCACGGCGGCCGTCTGTGCTCCGCCAGCCGGGCAGTCGTGTGAGCCGGTCAGGCTGCCGGCCGACCACGCTACATGACGACATAATACATCAACACTTATACGCATCAGTAGAATTCACTGGTGTTGATGCTTTCTTCGAATTTCCTCAAACGCTGTAGATTGCCCGCAAAAGTAACAACTGATAATTAATTCCCTCGCATTCTCTTCCGTTTCTCGTCCCAAAAGCGCAGCTGATTATAGAAGGTCCGCGATCCGATTCAGGTACTAGCGGCGGCGAGGGCTGGAGTCGCTTTAGGCGCTCATTATTTGGTCCCGGCTGGCTTGAATTGCGGCCGGCAGCAGCGAGCTTTGTGAAGGTCAGTTGACGCCAGAGCGTCTTACCCTCAGGGTAGGACGTGCGTGCCAAGTGCTGCGGCACGTCAAGTTCCCACCGCAACATCCTGCCGTTGTACCGGAGTCTCACGATGGGATGGTGCAGTCAGGGGTCACGTAAAAACACCGATAGGCGTGGGTGTTGACCCCAAAATGTATCCGATGGAAAAGCTAGGGCTAAAGCTGAAAAAACAATATGCCTTAACCGATTGAACTTACCCTTTTACTCCCCATAGCTCGAGCATTGGGGCCAAATGGCGGTGTATGTATGTTACTAGCAGTGGTGATATATGTACGCCACCCAATTGCCTGACATGCTAGAGAACCGACCACACAGCAACCTCTTCATCTCACCTCGATTTCGGTCGAACTTCACCACCACGCCGTCGAAGGAATGAACCGACTGCTGGATAATCCCTCCACTCCTCTGGCCTGCTTTCCGCCCAGGGCGTGCGCCTGGGTCAGGACTGTTCCGCACAGCAGCTTTGTGCTGCGTTACAGTCGAAAGTTCTAGGATTGA